ATATATATATATATAATAATAATAATAATAATAATAATAATAATAATAATAACCACACTCAACTGCAGGAAATGATGCATGCAGCTTCTGGAATATATTTTTCTGCAATCAATGCCGATTCTTATCCGTGACTGCATTTTACTTTTTTTTTATGCAAATATTTTTTTGCGCTTTCTTTCATGCTTCACAGGCTCACATTGGGTTTATGGGTTTTATGTGTTTTATAAGTTAGTATGGAATGGTGAAATGCTGGTTGCAACTATAAATGGATTAACATGTTAAAATGCAAATTTCTGTGCAGGTATAATCCTAGCAAATATGCAGATATGGATGATGATGATGACAGTGACATGGAAGCTGATTTTAGTCAAATTGAAAGAGAGGAGAGGAGAAGGTATGTAATTTCATGTATGCTTTAGTTCTATTGTGATAATGACGCTCAATTATGAATTTAAACCAGTTGAAAGATTATTTTTATTAAGCTTGTATTAATGTGCCATTAGTTTTAACTCTGATAGACCGTCATGATTTGTGCCATTTCGTCTTTAGAAACCATAATGGTTAAAGTCAAGGTGCTTATGGGTTGGCAATAGATGAAAGCTTTATATTTCATGCCATCCTGAAGCTGTTTTCTCGAGTCATTAAAGTGAAATAGCCTGAACTTGTCTGATTGCCATGTTATATTGATTTGAAAAATATACCAAATTTAAAAATCTGATATCCATGTTGCGTATAATTGACATTTATAGCCCAGCTTGACGGGGAGTATGGGTTTCTAATTCTATTAATTTTTGGAATGTACTTGATTTAAAATCATTATTCAGATTTTTTTTGTTTAATTGTGCAATTTTTTATTTTAATACCATGTGTAATTAAAGATGGATACTTTTTGGTTATTTTTTGGATACTGTTGACATCTACACTTTCTCTGCTACCAAACATAATTAAGTACGATGCTGAATATGGATGGCTGATGTAGCATTGCACAAAATGAACTTGCAATCAACGTTATTCAATCATTCTCAATTTCATAAAACAAACTTCATGGATGCATTCAAAATGTCGAAATTGCTTAAATCCATTTACATTATCCAGTGTGTTGCATGAGAAAAAAGCAGAAAAGTTACCCAAAAGGTATGCCTTCATCACATATTTCTTGAAGAAGTATCTAGAGTGTTGAAAATACCCAAAGAAAGACTCTTGTACTACCAAATCATTGATGTAGCCTATAGGTGATGGATGACAGACGATTTTGCATAAAGTTGATTCCAAATGTCTCAATTGCAATCAAATTCACTCGAATGTTACCCCTTTTCAAAATGGGTCTTGCTGATGTGTTGGAAACGTAAATAATATCTGGGATTGTCACGCATATTGCTTTTGTTATTTCACAAGAGTGAAACTCAAAATTTGCTTATGCTCAAGACAACTTCGTACAGTTTGAGATGCATGTAAAATGAAGAATTGTGTGAGAACATAAGCATGTGTCGAGATGTGTCTGAGATGGAAATAAGGTTGGGACAATTAATTCTAATTCCTTTAATTAAGGAAATTAGAATTAGTTGGTAATCCCTTAAATTGAAGGAATTAGAATTAATTTGTAATCCCTTAAATTGAGGGAATTAGTGAAATAGTTTTCTAGTTTTTTCTACTTGTAATCTCCTATATAATGAAATAGTTTATCAATTCAAAGAAGTAAGTGAAATACAAAATTATTCCTATATAATACC